GAGGGTTACACAGAGCTGGAAGAAGGGTTGGGGAGCTTTTAACATCAATAATTGAGGAAATTTTCCAGTGGGCAATGGAGCAGAATTAGTGCTAGAGGACAGCAGTGCGATACAAAGCCCAATATAGATAAACTGCACTTTCACAGACACTGGCTGTGTCTCAACTGGATGTCAACATTCACGGCTTACTGTAATTTCAGTCTCTAGAGCTCGGTGTTACCTGAGGGTCACTGTAATTCTGTGAAATCAAACAACTTGGTCACCCCATTTGGTACACAGAGTATATTTCTTAAAGATGGGGTTGTGATTACTTTAATACCACAATTTAAATATCAGGAAATTAAATGTCTATATAAGTTCCTGTTATCCAGAAGCATAGGAACAATTTAAAGGCTTTGAAGATTGGATCTTTGAATACTAATTTTTAAAAGGGATTTAATCCGCAGGGCTGGAATACATTTTATTGTATTCCAAAATCTCCCTCTGTACTGTCTGCTTAATGGCATCAAGGCAGCAGCGTTTGTGAAAATTCATTGTAACTTACTTCATTTATAGTTGCTAGTAATTTCGACATATTAGTGGATACAGATGCAGATGCAGATGAACTGGATACAGAATTTATTGGTAAACCATGTCATTTTAAGGAATTGTAAGCAATTGCATTTAAACAATTGTATAATTTTGTTGTCACTCCTGTAAACAGCAGAACTCTACATTTCGAACAAATTATGAGTGACAACTTCTTTTAGCTGCATTTTTATTTATTTATTTATTTATTGATGACCAGTGCTGCATTTATTTGATAAGAAGTACAGTGAACACAAAAATATTGTGAAATATTGTTACAGTTTAAAATAACTATTTTCTATTTGAATATATTTTAAAATGTAATATATTCCTGTAATGCCACTTTTCCAGATCTCTCAGATTCGGTGCTCAAGAATTTATTGTTAATGTTGAAAACAGTTGTGCTGCTTAAATGTTGCGGAAGACATGACACTTTCTTTTCGGAATTCTTTTATAAGCATTTATTTGAAACAGAATTCTCTTACAATGTAGAAGTCTTAACTGTCACTTTTGATCAATTGATTGTATTCTTACTGAATAAGAGTATTAATTTCTTTAAAAAAAATCTTCCTGACCCCAAACTTTTGAATGGTAGTGTATATGCAGGGCCACTGCTGGCCAAATGGGTGCCCTAAGCAGAATTGTATTGTTTTGCCCCTCCCCCAAATATAATGGAAGTAAAAAAAAAAAAAAACACCTACTATAGGGGTCAAAATAGAACTTTAATAAAATATAAAAGTAAATAAATAAATTGTAATTAAACTGTATTATTTACAAAGTACAATTGTAGTTCTATAGCAAAAAAAAAAAAAAACTAAAATTACACACGTTAAATAAAACATTTTAAAAGATGAAATATTATCAAAATAAACAATAATAAATGAAATCAAAAATCAAAAACTGCTTCATCCTCTTTTGTAACAAATTTCAGCATTGACCCTGCATTAAATGAAGCAGAAGATATTAGTCACTGAAGAATTACTGAGTGCACTTCTAAATAAACAGTTATTAGTTTAAAAAAACACAAGTAAATTAAGAGCAGTCAGTGTAATACATAAACATAGTTGTAACAACAACAAAAAAAAGTTACCTCCTATGGCTATGATTTTATTAATACAGTTGTCTGATTGATTTTTTAGTCTCAAGCATTCAGAAATCACACAAAAGAAATGTAGTTAAAAGAAAATTAACTACAATAAAACCATGTTAATTTTTGTAAAGGTTGTGATGTATGTTTTTGTTGTCAGTATTGCCCCTGCATTAAATGAAGCAGAAGATATTAGTCACTGAAGAATTACTGAGTGCACTTCTAAATAAACAGTTATTAGTTTAAAAAAACACAAGTAAATTAAGAGCAGTCAGTGTAATACATAAACATAGTTGTAACAACAACAAAAAAAAGTTACCTCCTATGGCTATGATTTTATTAATACAGTTGTCTGATTGATTTTTTAGTCTCAAGCATTCAGAAATCACACAAAAGAAATGTAGTTAAAAGAAAATTAACTACAATAAAACCATGTTAATTTTTGTAAAGGTTGTGATGTATGTTTTTGTTGAAGAAATTATAGAGGCTGTAGCAAAAGGACTGGTGGCCAAAGGTGGCCAAAAATGAAAGATTAATTGGATATTTGAATTAAATGTTTGGTCAATATTAAACAAGGATTTGATCGTCCAGTAAGTGTAACAACAGCAATTACTGGGCCTTTGGCACCCTTTGCAGGCATTTGTAAATTGTTTATTTATTTTGTATTTCATTATGTAACAGTGTTATTCAATGAAACCATATGATTATTATTAATTAGCCAGTCATTATTGCCTCATTGTTTTTATATAATGCGTGGCCAAAAATGAAAGATTAAGTGGATATTTGAATTAAATGTTTGGTCAATATTAAACAAGGATTTGATCGTCCAGTAAGTGTAACAACAGCAATTACTGGGCCTTTGGCACCCTTTGCAGGCATTTGTAAATTGTTTATTTATTTTGTATTTCATTATGTAACAGTGTTATTCAATGAAACCATATGATTATTATTAATTAGCCAGTCATTATTGCCTCATTGTTTTTATATAATGCATTTTAAGTCATTTTAAAGGCTGTTGTTCGCTTAGGTCTGTATTTATTACCACAAAAAAAATATCAGGCTGAATACTTCTTTGTTCATTATTATTTGAAGTAACAAAACCATGGTTAATTTGTGGTTACCATGGCTACAAGAACCATGACTTTTTTTGGTTTTATTCGTAGTAAAACCACGGTTAATTTTCGTAAGGGAACATGGAAACTCAGAGAGAATATTAAGGCAGATGCGATGTTGGTGGTGAAATTATTGCATTATTTGTCGGTCATCCGACGTGACGTCGAGAGTGACCGACTGAAAGGGAACCATGGTTAATTTGTGGTTAACATGGCTACAAGAACCATGATTTTGTTTTTTTTGTTTTTTATTCGTAGTAAAACCACGGTTAATTTTCGTAAGGGAACATGGAAACTCAGAGAGAATATTAAGGCAGATGCGATGTTGGTGGTGAAATTATTGCATTAAAACACGTTATTAACGTCAACAGACAAATTAAGTTTCACAGGATTATGAACGTACATGAAAATGATACACAGGCTTCATCTTGGGCTTTTTAACTTTTTCTTTTCTCGGCGCAGGACTTTTTTTCGGACATGGTTGTCCATCAATAGAGTGGTGGAACTATGATGTCACTTTGTAGGCAAAAACCCGGAAGCGAGTTAGCATTTTAGCACTTCCGGTTCCATCGTCCCAGAGTCAATGGGTTTATTGAATGGGATTTTGGTTAAATCCCTTAAATAAGGTCCGTGGTTCACACAGGCTCAAGATACTTTCACGTTTTATTCTACGACATAAAACACACCAGTTACACCCCACTCGTGATTTTTTTTACACTGTTACGTTTCTTAAAAAAGACGGTTGCTAACAAGTTGCTAAATGGGACTACAGGCGCTGTCGGAGACATTCAACGTCATCACGCTGAACAGTTGATCAGTTTACAGTATTTTCCAGTCGTAGTATAATTTGTCATACAATTAATTGAAGAATAACCAATTAATAGTTTCCCTGCATTTTATATTGTTGGTCGACGATGTTTTTTTGCTTTGCCCCGAAATGCAACACAAGTCTTCGGATGAAAGATGCTCGTTTTATCGCTTCCCCGCTGATGCGGAGACTCTGGGTTTGTACCACAAGGTAAACTCATATTACGATTATTCCATGTAAACACCACATTTACCGGCTTAGTCACGGTGAAAGTGAAACTTTAACGATGCATAGTGCTTAAAGCCACGTTAAAATTAAATGTTTACGGCCACATGAAGCTGTTAGAAAGCATTCTAAAGCATGAGGATTTCCTAGAAGCAATAACATTTTGTGTACCCACCCTAACAAAGCTGAAATGTGGTACTTTATTCACTAAAATAAGTTTAATCTTACCATATCCAAACAACGCGCTCACTCTGCTGTTATTTAATAGATTAAATGCACTAAAATTTAATTGAATAGTACGTGGAGACACGTTTTTAATTAAAATATTCATATTAATCAAAGATTTATTGACTTTTAATGCAGCTTATTTCGAAATGTACGGAATACGTGCTTTCAAATGTCCTTTAGTTATGATTATTTCATTTATTCACTATACTATTTATTTACTATTAATGTCTCATTTCAGTTTTAGTTTGGCTCTAGTTTTGTATTTATTCCAGTTTATATGAAAAGGTTCATGTAGCGTGGGTTAAAATTCATATACAGAGTAAATCCTTTTCACTGAACACATTAAAAATAAGTTTGAAAAAGTTGTCGGAAGCGTGGTGGTGGTGACGCTGAAGGCGAGCGACCGTGGTGCTGTAGTTCGTTTGTAGCCTAAGTTTAGCTTTTAAGTTCTGGCGCTTTTATTTAGGCTTCTTTAGCTTATTTTTTGCGATAATCCAAAAGCCTATGGAAAAATCCTAAAGGCTTTTCGTTGAGGGAACCAGTACGATGCTAACAAACGATCTGCATACAAAGTGACGTCATAGTCCCCCACTCTATTAGGATCATGTGCAGTCAGCTGCAAACATAAGGTGAGGGCGGATGCGGGAATGGCGCGTCACGTGTGCTTAGCCTACTGCGTTCACCGTAAAATGCATTTTAAAAAATTGTATATATATGTATATTAATATAGAACAAAAAATTTTTTTGAGCAACTGGGATGGTGCCCTATGCAAACTGCGTACTCTGCATATAGGGAGCGGCGGTACTGTGTATATTAATTAAATTACAGTCACAACATTCGACTGCATGAGCTTTAATCATAAAGGACCCATGTAAATGTTCTTTTACAGACGTCACCCAGAGAAACAACTACCATACTCAGTGTTTATAACTGAATGACACTGAGCACTCCTGAGAAGTTACTAGTCCTGACCTGATCAATCTGGTCTTGCTGACCACGGTACACAGTTTCCGGGTCAGAGGGTGGCCTCAGAAGAAACTCTGAGTCGCAGAAGTTTCCATCTCCGTCGACATTATGCAGACTTTCCCAAACCACCTTCTCCTCAGTGAGAAACCCCTGATCCGTCACCAGCAAGTACAGCTGGGCCTGAGGAACACAAAAAGAGCATTTATAAAAACATGCAGCAACCTCACAGCTCTCGTCCATCAATCTTTCAACATTCCCAGACCGAGCAGGAGTGGTGTCATGTTCTGAAGTGTGTACACGAGAATCATGGAAGAGTTTTATCTATGGGTGAAGTGTGTCCTGCTGTTACAGAACAGCTCCACTTCCTCCAGATAACAGACATTTACAGCCTCCCTTATAAGACAGTTGAGGGTTACATAGAGAGTCAACATCCAAAACCATATACATTCTTAAAGTTATGTTTTTGGCCACTGGGGGGCACCAACATACAGCATCCCTCTATAGACAAATGAACCTAATTTACTTTGCTTATTAGAGCACTTATTCACAGCAGCACAGAGCCATCTTTCAGCATCCAACATCTCAAATACACTTAAATGTCAACACACCTTAAATTTGGTCATGGTGCTGAAGTGATTGTTCCTGAAGAAGACACACAGTTCTCCGTCTTGTACAGTAGAAGTGAGTTCACACAGGCCGTGGTATGTTAGCTGAGTCGCTGTGCTGTTCAGAAACTGCTCTGCCACAAAACCTGGGAAAGAAAGAGCCAGTGTGAGATGTCTCTGAAATACACAATACAATACAGACAATACAATACATTTTTGAATGTAAAACCTTAAAGGGGTCCTATTATGCTCTTTTACAAAGTCTTGATTTTGTTTTGGGGGTGTACTAGATCAGGCTCTCATACTAGGTCTGCGAGCTTCAGTGTAAATATTGCGTCAATATCAAATCAATTTGAGCGCGATTTAAACCCGGATGATTGTAACCACTCTTAAGCTCGTCTGCCTTGGGAAAGCTAGTGCGTTTCCGATATAGTGATAACACTCGTTGCCTTCTCTAGTGCAGCTCAACCAGGTCTCGTCCCATTCGTCGATATTTGTGATATCACAAATCCCGGAAAATATGCGTTGTAGTCCAAACGAGTCGTTCATTGTAGTTTTTGAAAAGTGATTTCTGTTAAATAAAATATATCCTTTTGAAGTGGACTTTGAACTTTGTAACTTTGCAGATCTTTTTTATGCTCAAACAGCAACATTACAGACTAACTAAAGTTGAAAAAGTGAAAAAGCATAATAGGACCCCTTTAATATCTGCCCTAGCTCTCCTTGGTGCATAGCAATGTCCGATTCGTAAACAAGTCAAGTTTGTTTTTTGAGTTTGATCTTTTGATTCAGTTCACAAAACTGTTCTGAGTGATTCATTCATGATGACAGTCCACTGGAGGTGGTGATTATCAGTGAATAATGACTTGAATGTCAGTCTCTCTCACACAAAGCTATCATATGACTTCAGAAGACTTGGAACACTGTGTATGAGTCATATGGACTAATTTTATTATACTTTTATGGCGTCTTTTTCGAGGTGTTAAAGTCTCAGCCCCCATTCACTGTAACTTTAAATTTCTCCAGATAGAAGAATGGAAGTCATACAGGTTTGGAACAACATAAGGGTGAATAAATGAAGAAAAAAAAATGTTTTGGTGAACTAATCCTTTAAACACACACTGTCTGAAACTTTATGACACACAAAAATCACACAGCCTGAAAGAGACAAACTCACAAACACTGGTACAGGGATAGAGTGTGAGTGTCTGCCAATCAGCCGAAGAGAGAGAAAAGACAAAGAAACAGACACAGAAAGGGTGCATTCTGATAGACGCTTACAGAAAGAGCAAAAAAAAAAAAAGATGACGAGGGAGATATATTTAGACAAATGCAGTAAGAGAGGGAGAGAACGTTTCAGACAGCTAATAACTTCGAAAAGGAGGAGGGTGCTTAAATGACTCTGACATACTCTGATAGTTGTTTATTTGAATGATGCAATGGGGAAAACATTATTCAGAACATGGATTCATATTCACAAGGCATTAATACATGTAAATGCACATAAGCCTGGCAAAGAGTGAACTCTAAACATTCTAAGAAAGTGAATTATGCTACAAATGAGCACTTGCCTTCTGGAAGAAGCAGTCTGCATGAATGTATGAAAGGAAAAGGAAAAGACAGACAAGAACAGTGAATACCCACCTTCCCCAGCCAGCTCGCTGTTGTCTGACTGCTTACAGCTGATTATCTTCTCTACCAACTGGTTATAGCTGCAGTTTCCCACTGCCTTGACTATATCAGCCATCTACAGACAGTGTGATAAAAACAAGAAAGTCAATATGCTGGTCAAAATATTAGAATGAATGTTAACTTCCACATGGGTGATTTTTTTTAGAAGGGGTGCAATTTTAATGCATGAAAAGATATAATAAAATATTTACAAAAATGTGAGGGGTGTGCTCACTTCTGTGAGATACTGTATGTATTAATTTGTATATTACTTAATCGATGTGACAGAGTTAACCCCAGCATGTTTTTAACTTGATACGGCATTGTGAAACCATGGCAATCATTTTACATTTACATTTACATTTAGTCATTTAGCAGACGCTTTTATCCAAAGCGACTTACAAATGAGGACAATAAAA